CATTCTGTCGAGTCTGACACACCCCAGGGTCATGTAGAAGACAGTCAAGTTTGTCTGCTTTCCAATGTGAGCTGTCAGCTTTCATGTATATCTGTCTGGCTAGGCAAGGAGTGTTATTTTAGGTGGACACCGGAGGTCAGTTTGAAATAATAATAATAATAATAATAATAATAATAATAATACCTAAAGGTATTTGGAGTTCAGTCCACTTAGGTACTCAATCTTGACCTGCTTTAACACTCCAGACCATCCCCAGGGGACTGATGGTTCCATTCAGATCAACAGGACCTCCATTTTTGGCCTGGTCTTCATCCGTCACAGAAAGATGGATGTCAAATGTAACCCTCTAGCTAAGAGGACTTCACTTTGTTGGCCGTTTCCCCCTGCTACGGTTGCCCGACCATCCGGCAAAACAGCTCGACAGGAGAGACATTAGTGCTGTTGGATGTCACTGATCTGGATGAAAGTCTCTGTGTTATATCATGATCTGTAACTGTTACATCAGTTATTGAAACTAGACACTGGATGTTGCAGTATGGCACTGCGCGGAGGGCGGAAAATCAGTGTTGACACACTGGAATGATATCAGTAGCTGTATACACCTGCTTATATAAATGTGATGCCTTGTGTATTAATCTGAATTTCAGCTTTAGAAGTATAGTCATGCTTTTCCATCATGCACCTGTCACTAGGAGGGAGATGAATTTATGTTCTGCTGGTAGCTGAGTGCCAGGTGACAGATGCTGCTGGAGGACCGGTGGATTACCATCGTCACGCTGCACGAAGGAGCACTCTGTGCTTCACCCCCTACGAAAAAGTTTAGGCAGGGAAACAAAACAAACACAGGGTGCCGTGGAATTCCTCCTCTGGCGGTTTGGTGGTGGAGCCAGACTTGCAGAGGTGTATTCGGCTGCCTAATTTAACTTCCAGCACTAATGTTGTCATCGGAACCTTTGTGGAAGATGCAGAGGAGGAACATGGTTGTTTATTTAAATATCTTGTGGAGAATGTGCTGTGGGTGATGCAATCCTGGGTCTGTCACGCGTGTCGCATGTTTCGCCTCTGTTATGCATATTATTGCGGCACTCCTGCGAGCCTGAGTGCGGGGGACCGTGGGCTGTCACTCACCCGGTAAGGCGGCAGAGTGCAGGGTGTGACACTGCCTGAGTATTTATATCCTCGCTGCCTCGGGTTCGATGAGAAGGATGCTGGAAAGGCACTGTAAGTTTTGCTGTGAAACACGGTGGCTTGTGTCTTGATTCTACTGAGGCTGTAGCCATCTAAGATGACCCCGTTCATCTAACAACAGGCACTCACTCGCTGGTCGTATTTGGAGACGGGGGGGTCTTTGGGATGGTGAAGGGGGTGATTTGAGAGATGTAAATGACTGCATCCTATGTGTATGGAATGTGTGTCTTCACTGACTCTCCTCCCAGCGACTGGGGACGTGGTTGGGTGGCTGTTGGGGAGGTTGGTGCTGTGCCAATTGCATTAGCCCAACCCTGTCAGCCCCCACATTTCCCCTTCAAGCATGTTTCACACTTGCTCCTGCATTCAACTTGCATCCAATTCCTAGAAACATACACACCTGTGCACACAATTATAAACACTCTGCCCGTACATGCATACACACTTGTACTCCTTGTACACACTTACATGCACAAAATCAATCTGTATCCACTGACTAAGATTTTAATAATAAGTCATCAATTTCACATTTATATACTTCATTTATCCAAAGGAATGAAAATGAAAACCAGTTCAGACAGTCCCTGGTGAAATTTGGCGTTAAGGACCTTCCTCAGGGCCCAATGGTGAAATCACTTTGCCAACCCTGGGATTTAAACTGGCAACCTCCCAGTCTTGGCCACAGCATCCTAATCTACTGAGCCACAGACTTAACAGGTAGTGCTTACTTAATGTTAACGCCTCCATTACAGCCGGGTTACCCAACCGCGATTCCTACAAGCATGAGCAGGCTTTTTCCTTCAGACCTCATCAACAAATCGATTGAACTTCATAGAGCAGATAATTGTATTGCTCTAAATGTTAAAATTTGAACTGCAGCTGTTTTAGATATGGAAGGTGGAGCGGTGTCCTTTGGGTTTACAAAACTCGATCTTCAACTAATTCTTGTATAGAGAAACAAAATGAATGACAGGATACGCACATTCACACTTGCAGTCTGAATGCAAAGATGCAGACTGACTCACCGACAAGTAGATCCACACGCATGTGAGGCTGCTGGATCCATCGTGTAGATCTGGCCCCCTGACCAATCCCCACTCTCTAATTTCCCAGAAGATCATTGGTTAGTGCCCCCTCTACCCAAAGTGCTATTTCGCATGGATCGTGGCTTTTCCAGTTGATTGAAAAGGCTCTGACTTTGTGGGGGAGACACTATCGCAAAAACTCAAGAACAATGTTCATCAATCTTGGAGGACGACGTGTAACTTAGTAACGAGTAAGTGAAAGTGAGAACCTCGGGGCACATCTGCATATGTGGGCTGCTTCTGTTCCTCAGAGATGACACAAATGAGCACCTCCCTCTCTTCAAAAATTATTTATTAATGGCCCTACTTTGTACCTTTCCTGTGGTGCAGTGGGAACCAACTGAATGTTTAACTTTCTTCGGGAAACTCAAATATTTGGTGCACATGTGCCTTCCCTCGTGTATTCTGCGGATTTAGCTTTTTGCGAGGTCTGGGCGCCATTGTCTGTCAGCCAATATATGCAGTACGATCTGTTGAGATTACGTACAGAATTCACAGATCTGTCTGTAGACACATGGCATAGGTGTTTTAATCTAGTGCAAGCTGTCAGTGCAAACTTTCCTTGTCTTTTACACAAAGTTTTTCTATTTTGTGATTTCATTCAATCAATGTGGGACAGCATTGCTCCAGCTTGCATCAAGTCAGGTTCATAATGTGTACAGCCTTTGGCTATTCAGTTCTTCAGACAATTTGCGGTGTGACTTAATGGCCTCTCAGCACTAATAAATTTTCCCATGTTTCTTTCAAGGCTGCTAAACTTCCAATGTCTATCATTATCGTTGGAGTGGGACAGGCTGAGTTTGACGGTAAGTACCGACTTTCACGTCCTCGGGCCAGTACAACTGCTGCATGTGATAGGAATCAATATACACACAGTCATTACCAATAGTAAATCGTGTTTGCAAACAAACAGATGTTAGTCGATCTGCCCTCGGATTTTGTTATCTCAGTGCTGCTAATACCTCTTCTCAAGGAACCCCAAGGTATTCCATAGATCCAATCTTGTTTGTTGATTCTGCTAAGCACTTGTGATGAGCTGATTCATTAAATGAGATGATCTTGTGGTGGAAAGCAACAGATAAACTGAATGACCCATGAGGAGAGGTTTTGTACAGTATTATCAGAAATATCCTCTCCATTCTCTCATGGCCCTTAGTCTTTAGCTAAGATGTTAACCGATAGAGTTTACTGCTAGCGCTCTTTGTGGTAAATAGATCAATGTCCCATCTAGGAGTGCTAGGGATAACTGTCAACACAGAGACATTTGGGATAAGCTCTGTCTCATGTCTCATCTCCCACCTCCCATTTTCCTTGCTTCCCCAGCTATGGTAGAGTTGGATGGTGATGACATCAGGATTTCTTCACGTGGGAAGCTGGCAGAACGAGACATTGTCCAGGTGGATGCCACAAACGAGAGCTTGTCCATGAATTGCCTTGCCTAATAAATTGCAGAAAATATATTAAGACGTAGGGTTAGGGTGAGTTTAGCTGATGGAGGATCAGACATGAAGTCGTGCACATCGGCCTTACAAGCAGAAACAGTTTTGAAAACAAATATAAAAAAGTTTGTTAGGTCAGTGTGGACCACAGTTGCAGAACCTTGAAACAAACTTGCATTCAAAAGACTGGAATTTTTAAATCTGACATTAACGGTTAGCAAGCAGTAAACTGGCCCAAATGAAAGAAAAAGAAAACAAAAATCAATGAATTTAGCTATAAAGGCATCTTTAGATGTTACTGTATAAAAGACTTTACCCTGATACTCCATGGTCATGCGACAGCATTGAAGTACAGCTAATCCCCGCTGCCAAAAAGAGTCGTCAATCAACCCTGAGGGGGAAATGGCTTCCGTATTTATTGTTATTGATGCAGCATTTCTGCTCTTTAAAGACTAAAACAACATCAGCAAAAGAAGCATGTGCACATAATTTTAGGTGCTGCTAGCAGGAAGCATAAGGGGGCCCATAAAGGCAGAGGAAGTCAGGGAGATTCCAAGGGCCATTAATTGAGATGACAGGGGCCCTAAAACATTTGGAACATATCTGGATTGGTCTGTGTTGGGGGCCCAATATGATATGCTTTCATGGGGCCCATTGAGCATAACATTGTTGCGGACACAAGCTGAAACTTTACGCACAGTATAAAGGGATGCTATTCCTTTGGCCACACAGCACAACTCCTCAGTGCTTCCTAATATTGCCTGCTGAAAGATCAACACTTCTGCCTTGCTGTGAATTTAAAAATGCTAGCTTGATATTAATAGATAAACACAGTTCAATTCCATAAGTAATTACGGTAAAATAGGTGAAATCATACAGGTCCATTTTTAGCTCAAAAATTTGATTAACATTTTTTAATTTACGGTCTACATATAGGCCATCATTTAAGTAGTGCATAACATATGTAATTAATGGAATAGCTAACAAAAGCACAATTGAAAATGTATCTTAACCAGTTACAAGTGTATAATTTTCTGAGCAGCACAGCAAGTTACACTGACCTTTTTATTATAGTCCGGACTGTGTAAGCTAGCTGTGTGTTCTGTTCCACTGTTAGCATGCAGGGTAGGCTGACATACACCAGTGGGAGCAGACTGAAGATGGATGGATGGATGGATGGATGTTATTACTGTGTACTTTACTGTGTACTATGGAATAGAACACATTAATAAGCATTAGTACGCATTGAATGTAGGTATATCATACATTTTTTATCAAAGATATTCAAAGTTTGTAGTATAATGCCTTGTGATCGGGGAATGGATTATAAGAAGTTACAAAGTTACAGCAGCAAATTGTTGCGAGAGCCCAAGCAAATGAAAGGGATTAGACAGCCAAGGCCAACATTACAGATAATTAGTCTGGTAAATTGTCCATTATCCATATCATTAGGTACTGGCGGATAAAAATTGAAAATTGGCTTAAGTTAGATTTAATAAGTCAGAATGCTTTTTTTCAATGCCGAAATTATTCATTATAGGTTTTGGGGATATGACTATTGGGGTACGCCCTGACTTGGTGAGTGGGGATCTCACTTTCATTTCCACAACAGGTTTCCACAATTGATTGTGGATAATTTTAGTGTGATATTTGAAAGAAATAACAACAAGGCATAGGGTGCAAAAAGAACGAGAGATAAGAGATATCCTATGCTTTGAATCTGAAGCAATGTGGGCCAGTTTTTTTCCCTTTCTGGTACCTAAAGCTGTGTTACATTAACCTCAGAGGTTGGAACTCGGAACTGGGAATGACGTCACACCCGAATTAACCGCGTTCCAGTACAGCAAGTCAGAAAGCTATTTAGCAATACCTGGAACCTCTTTCAAAAAGCAAAATTTCTTGCTTAGCTGGATAACTTATTAGATGTAATTTAAGGCAGTTTATATGGCCTTTATCTTTGTGCACTTAGCCCACACTACTTTAACTAGGGTGACCAGATAATCCATGTCAGGGAGGACACATTGAGCTACTACGGGTTTTACAAACTACTTTCAAATTGAAAGGCTCCTATGCTCGGCTAAATAGTTCAGCTCTGCTTGTGCTTTGACTGGTTTGTTTCCTTGACTGAAAGACTCATCCAGCTGTTTCACATTAGCATTAGTGACACATGCATGATTATAGGAGACTGACCAATCAGCACACAGCAAGAACTCAGTGCTCAGTTGAAATCCAGGTCCGTTTAATTGAAATGGTAATTTACAATTCCTGTCCTAGCTCAGATTGTCCTCCCTGACATGGATTATCTGGTCACCCTAACTTTAACTAAGTTATCCGGCTAAGCAAGAAATCCTGCTTTCTGAAGCAGGCCCCAGTTCTAGCACGGTTAATTGTTAGCCATTGTTAGCAATATCAGTTAATAACAACTCATTACGCTGCATTTTGCACATAAAAACACCGTAGCAACACAACAACAGATGGCAGTTGGACAGTACTGTGTGTACGACTGATTTAATGAGCTACAAATAAGATGTAAGTGCCAATAAGCAGAATAAAACTAAGGATGGAGCCATCTTGAATTCTGAGCTCGGGGTCGTGTGGATTCCTCCGAGTTCATGAGTCGGTATTCCGACTTCAGTTGAAATTTCCGACTAGGATCTTGGAATTTCCAAGTTATGAGTTCAAATGAAATGCAGCATAATGTTATTGAATGCTTATTGTTGATGCTCTACTGTTGGTCTTCACGCATGAATTTTGGCTTTCCCTGCCCCCAGTTCGTGCCGTTCCGTGACTATATGGACCGGACGGGTAACCATGTCCTGAGCATGGCCCGGCTGGCGAAGGACGTCCTGGCCGAGATCCCTGACCAGTTCATCTCCTACATGAAGTCGCGGGGCATCAAACCCAATCCGTCGCCACCCCCGTATACGCCGCCAGGACTTCCTCTCCACACACAGATCTGAGCTCACTTGCCAGGAGCAGCGGAGACGGAACCCTACAGAACTCTGGGACGTCTGTGGACTTCAGCTGGACTTCCTTATGGAACAGATACTTCGGAAAGGAGAGAGGTTTCTGTTGTTTGCGAGTTTATTTTTCTTGGAGGGATGGGACAGGTAGGACTTGGCAAAGTGATTTTTTGAAAATGTAGATCAGAATGACGGTGTTTCTGGATGTCTGGAACATCGAACAGGAAGAGCAGGAGAAGGAGTGGACTGTGTTAGTGGTTTAAACTTGTGCCGTGTGTGGTTATCTAAATGTTCTGGAGTGTTTCGCGCTCCTCTGGTCTGTGAAAGCGCTCGCCATAACTGTTCTTCAGCATGTCTGTGGCTGCTGTTCGTGGACACTTTTCTGAACTGTGTCTTTCGAAATATCCACACAACGATTCCTTAAATTTCAGCTACTGAATATGGGGAATATGCATATGATCCTCAAAGTCTTGTTTTTACAGCTTGTTCTGGCATTTATCTATTATTTTTTTTACCAAGTCAGTGATCCATCTGACTTTCCATGGAACACAGTACAGTTACAAAATGGAGTGTCAGGCTCCTCCAGCTGCGAGACTGTGGAGAACATACTGTTCATTATGCCCAAATGTGAAAAATGTTTATGTTACTTTTTCAAGGATGAAAAAGGCGCACCAATGTCTTTTGATAATGTACCATGGAAGTATTTGAATAATGTCAGTAATTTAATCACAGTATGTTCCGAGTAATGGTCATGATATGTCTTAATGGACATGATGTTTTGGTCAGGCACCCTCCTGTACCGATATGGGATTTTTGGAAAGCGTTTTCATAACTGCATTTTGTACTAGAGAGTCTGTAGACCATCTGGTCTGCAATTGCTGTTCAAGCCTCCTGCCATTTTGCCCACACACCTCGAGGTTATATCACGGGGAACGGGTCATGACCCTCGCTGGGTCTCCCTCCTTTTAGCACCACTCAATGGTAGCGATAAATAGCTGCTTGATAAGCCACGTTTTCCGAAGCATTTCTCCCGTCTCCGGCCGATATGGCAGGACGTGCCGGAAGCTCTTTGTTCAGGAAACACTCCGGGGATTAAGGTCTCCAGGCCTTAGCTGCTTATTTTCTCCTTAAGATGCCCTTAATATGGGAAGGAGTGTTTTGGATGCACATGGTGACATGGTGATAGCCCGACCTCAGTGTTTTTTACTGACAGAGATTCAGGACATTAACCCTAGACTTCGTCATGGGGACGTATGTACCCAGAGTACTATTTTTACCATTGTTTAATAATTATTTCACTTTGATCCTATTCTTTAGGGAAGGTTCCCTACAGCTTTTAATGAACTGTGGAGAACTCCTTGTCTCCATGCGATTTCAGGGAGAATTAATGAAGTATTCATCAAAATGAAAAGTCCACTTCCCTTATAATCTGTAAAAATAAGACTTCCGACGAAGTGTTCCTCTACCTTATGGGGACAACACAGGTTCCATCAAGGCTAAAAACAGGATGAATGGATTTAGCGGCCAGGTTCCAGCTGCACTCTCAGTTGCGTGTAGGAACTGGTAATTTTCGGAACCCAAAGGTTAATTTGTAGGTGTTATTTCCCCTGCATGTCACACAATCATTGACGGCCACCTTTGTTGTTTGATTATTATTATTGTTATAGTGATTACTATGTGCCAGAGGTCTGTCACAGGGGCAGAGCCGCAAACAAATTCACAAGTGCTCGGCACACGAAACCTTTTTCCGTGTTCCAGTACTATTCCGGCGCCGCACTCAGCTGACCCCATTTACAGCTCTGCCCAGTTAATTAGCACAGCCAGGGCCAACGGGATGTCATTAATTGCGGAGTCTGTGGGCAAGGTGCCGGTGAGCAACTACCATGGAAACGCGAAAGATCAACAGAACCCAGCCCTGTTCTATTCGTGCATCCCAGTAAAATGAAGCATACTATATGTTTTAAAAAAAAAAAATACATTTCAAAAGAGAGGGATTAATTGGCAATTGAAGCAATTTCGATAAAATGTGAGTTTCTGATTTTTAACTAATGCAACTCTTATTTGGAATGTTGGTGTCACGATCGGACGGTAGGCGAGCCGTGGAAGTAGGCGAGAGCAGCCAGGAAGTCAGGTAACGGGGTTTATTAAGGGAGGGACGGACAGGCACGGACATCTAACGTGACACTACAATGACGGATCTGGGGAAACTAACTGAGACACGGACTAAATACAAAAGACTAGCCAGACATAACAGGACACAGGTGATCACAATCAGGGCTGAACACGAGGTAACGAGGTGGGCGTGGCACACATTAGGATCGGACGGAGCGGGGCGTGACAGTTGGGATATTTAACAATATTTACGGCACCTGATTGGGCTCCCAGAATCACAAACATCTGAATTTAGCTGCTGAGTTTCTGGCACAGAGGTTTCGTTTATCCTGTTTTACTCACTTGTCTTTCACTGTCACAGCATTTCGCTGTGGAGCTGTGTGATTTATGTGTTGGCTTCACTATGGGACTAGATTTAAATGCGTCAGTTTTGTAAACGTTTTCCTTCCACAAATGGAAACGAGAACAATGCTAATGATGGTAGCAATGCTAACAGTTACTCATGGACGACCGGTAAGCCAATCCGATAATCTGTGGACAAACAGGTTTTTTGCCCTGAGTGAACCAGAATCACCCAAAACACATCATTATTGTTTTGATGAATGGCATAAATACTTCATTTATCTGCTATGTTGTAAGTCATTATGAAATTGATTAGATCAGTTAAGGTTGTCTTTGAATAGATTTACATTATTCACTGTTAAACACATGACATAATCCTTTCATAAGTCTTTAAATTTATGTTAAACGGATTTCATGATACTTATGTACAATTAGTAATAAATAGAGAGATTTTTTATAGTTTTTCTGGACATATGTAGTGGATGATTGTTTGGAAGATTTAAAGTGTGATGTTAAGGTATTAGGGATGTGTTGATGCAAGAATACCAGTCGTTTCGTTTTGTTTTGCATTCCCAACATGGTGTTTTTTCCGTCCCCATTAGGCAAAGTGTCACTCCGTGATCCTCTGGGGACAAAGCGGACTCTCAGCTGCTGGCGGGGTGACAGGCCCCGCCCACATTTGTAACATACTGTACCAAGCCAGGATATCTGGCAAACGTGCATGTTAGCATTCAAAATGGCTGCACGTCCACTGGGTCGCTGCACTTCCTACGTCTTGTGCTTGGCACTTCCTGTTTTTGACTTGTTTCTATGGAGATTATTCTAATGGAAAACTATAGCCGCCCAGCATGTCACAATTATTATGGTTTTTCTTTTCTCCTTTTCGGGTTTATTATTTATTTCTTATTATTTTTGCCATCCTAGTGCTTTATTGTTCTTGGCCTTTTATTAGCATGATATTTTTGTTTTCTTTATTGTACATTATCGTCGGCATACAGTGGGGTGTGAAATGCTTTGTATTGGATTGCCTTAACTGAAAATTAATTAAACGAATGACTACTTTTATTAAAGCTGCGGGGGTTTGTTCCTTCCAGTCATCCTTGCAATGTCTGAAGTGGGGGGCTTTCTCCTCTGCACCACACAAACAGGGGCGGCTTCGCCGTTTCTGGGGCTCCACTCAGAAAGTCCCTTTGCCGCCCCCTCAACGAAGTTTCAAAATTTAAACAAACAGCAAGGGAATCTTGAGAAGATCAAAGCTAGCCAGCTTTGACATGCTGCTTTAGTATCTTCAAAACAAGGAACATGGTTAACATGTAGCGTAGTGACCGTCTGTGGCCAATCAAACCATACAACCAACGCGTGGTATGAGTGGTGGTCCACAAGCTCCACAAGGCCTGGATGTGATTCGATGCCTTTTACTCATCGTAGAAGTATCAGATGCATGACGACAATCGCTTTAGATAGCTATCCGTCACCTACAGTTCAGGGCGTCGTAGCTGTAGTTCCCGAACGGGATCATCTCCAGCATGGCTATGCCTACGAGCTCTGCTCTCAGACGGAGCCCTGATACTGGAGTGTAATCTGCCTCAGACGTCAAAGGTAACATGTGAGCCCGGCTGGAGTCCGTGCCCTGAATGTGAGACACTGCGTGCGGCAGCATTAGCCGGCCTTGAGGATGCTACCCCGGACAGACCCTGCGAGATAATGGCGAGGCTAAATTAGAAGAAGACATCACTAATAAATGCCATTTGCAATCTGTGTCTCCCTTTACGTCAGCTTTTAACCATTAGAGGCCCTGTTTTTCTACAGAAAAGGTGGCTGCATCCATCTTTGATCCGTGAAAGATTATGGCCTAGCATGTTACCGTAAATAGAAACTTCTTTAACACCACAGTGGGGTGGATTGATTCGCTGCCTGTGATTTGGATGTAAAATGCCAATTTGGGTAATCAGGTTAGTGTTTTTTTTTTTGTCAATTTATTTTTATTGAAGTTTTACAACAGCACAAATGCAGTACATCAGGGGAATGACAGAGAAGGATACACGGGAAAAAAAAGGAAAATATGGTTAGTGTTTATAGGATGGCATTATGGCCAGATGGGTAGCCTTTGGTTGGGGGTTCGAATCGCACCTCCACAGTGTGTGTACATATGGAGCTTGTATGTTTTCCCTGGTTTCCTCTGATTTCCTCCAGTCCAAAGACATGTATAGTTAAGCTAATTGAAAGCGCTTAATTTCCTGTAGTATGTATGTGCCCTGTGACGGACAGGCATCTCGCCTAGGATGGAATTGTACTCTAATGCTGCCCGACCTGGTCCAGGGTAGGTGATTGAATGGGGCATGGATCTTATTGCTCGTTTGTATTCTGTACGATGTATACATGTCCACTTGTTTATTAATTTCAGGACCTCCATAAATGGCTTCCTTTGAGGTGAATGAACAGAGATCCTTCCTCTCCCACCACATGTCTGTTCTGTTACTGTGAGTAAATGCTTTTTGTACCCATTCTTTTCCAATCCACCTGCCAGGGATTAATGTAGGATTTTTGCCTCCCCCCCAACAGGAGGCCATTATTCCCCCCCATCTATGCAGGCTGCTTTCATTACACAGTTTGGCCATGATCTCGTACCGCAGATACAGACACTAGGGATCTTTACTGTGGATACCCTGCCTTTAGGGGTCAGTCTCCAATGAACCATGTCACCCAATAAACACACAGTCCTCTGTATGCTGTTTTATCTGGGGGATACATTTCACTTTGGAACATTCAAGGGTTAGCAAGGTGTTGGCGAGCTGAACAGCAGATGAAATATAAAACCATGCCTCCCTACATTATGCAGACAAATGCAGGCCTTCCCATAGGTGCCATTGAACACCTATGATATTTTGAATTTATGTGTTTATTTTTCATGCAATATTATGAAACAATGAAAATAATACAATTCAAAAAACCTTTTACTAGCAAAACTTGTCGAGGGATGCAACGCTACAATTTTTTTTTTTTTAATGAGAATAAACTCCATACCATTACAGCAAGAAAGATGTTTGAAACGCTCTTTATCTGACGACAGAGAAAGTGGCGTTTAATAGAAGTATCATAACAGAACTAGTAAGCAACTGAAGAAAGGGATGATTGAAAATGAAATTGAAACAAGATGTCCTGGTACTGGAGGGGTTTTCAGTATTAATGTTAAAGATTTGCCTGACTGTGTCAAAGTGTGAATTGCCCTTTTATAAAAAAAAAGCATTTTTCCTAAACCAGTAAGAGGAGGGTTGAACTTTCGGCAGGTGCCAGTCGCACAAAAGGCCCCGCTTGGATTAAAATGCCAGTGCATTTTAGCAGCAGCCTTTAGCATGTCCGCTCAGAGTAGCACCCGGCGTTTTGAGGGAACTGCAGTAATCTCACTTGAAAAGCTTTCTCTTCCATCTAATGAGGCTATGCAGTTGGTAGGAGCATGCACTTCGTGTCTCTGCTTGCATCCAACCCCCCCCCCCATCCCCCAGGGACCTGTCATACTCCTGTGAAATCTCTGGATGTCTACGGCAAGAGATGCGCTATGCAGTGCAGTGTCATGTGACATGGTGAGAAGTGCATGCCTAGCGCCTCGGGAGGAGGATGGCTATCGGTAATGGCGCGGCGAGTTTAGCATTTATCGGACTGCGCCTGATAGAACAGGCCGGTGGATTGCCTGATAATTAAATTACAAAGTCAAACAACATCAGCACATGTGATTTCCTGCAATGCAGATACTAGAAGCCATGACACCACTGAAATTAGTCGAAAGCAGCCTGCCAGAATTCTGCAGCACTGCTGTGCTGCCGCACTGGCTGATTTCCCAGCAGGCTTCCCATTAGCGCCAGTTACTGCCATCTCAGAGCTCCAGTAGTGACATAGCAGACAACTAGAACATCTTAGTTAGGCTGCTGCGGTATCCATAGGCTGTCCGGCTCGGAGAGGTCGAGCGGAGGCAGCAGAGAGACTCAGGTAGCAGCGTAAACACTCTGATTGCTCATCTGCTTCACTTCACAGCTCCTTTAGTGAAAGATTCTCCTCCTCTAGTGTTGCTTGTATGGCTGTGGATCATCAGAGTCAAAAGCACAAAAAATAAAAAAAGGGGATATCAGAGCTTCTTAATGGCATTAGAACTGAAGAAAATGTGAATCTGCAATAATAACAATGTAGCAAAGGACACATAAATCTTCCTTAAATCTCATAGTTTGCATCTACAGTTATAACTACTTCATGCACAATGAACGTCTGCAATAAAAATGTTGGGGAATTTAATTTTAACCTCGTTTATGTTGCAGGGCTATAAAATATGCATGCCTGAATTTTTTCTGTATAAATACTTTCAGTTAGGCTGGGGTAGAGCACAGCGATGCAAAGCGTTTTCTGACAACCACATACTGTCCTCAAATTTAATCATATACTATCAATTGGATTCATTTGAGAGCTTCTCCTTGGTGCCAAAACAGAATAATGGAAAAAGAAAAGTGGTAAAGCAAGGGAGGTCGCTACTGCATAATGATTTTTGTGGACAACAGGTACTCGGCGAGGAGAGGAATTGACATTTAGAAAGGCGGAAAGCCTTATTTTAGGGAAGGGGGGACACTGGGTTGTGCCCACGCTGATCACAAATGGCCGTTGACTGAAACAAACCTAAATTAGCACACTGACAGCTTGGTGTCAAGGCTTTTCAGAGAGTGCCTTGTTTTCACTAGGACTTGACAAAACAACAGTGGACTTTTGCATGTCTACACCTGTGTGCAAATTACAGA